GGTTTCGTGCCCCTCCCACCCCTCCAGGGAGGCCCCGCCTGAGCGAGGAGGGTATCGGAAAACCATACTATTTACATGGTTTCGTGCCCCTCCCACCCTCCAGGGAGGCCCCGCCTGAGCGAGGAGGGTATCAAAACCGGGTTTCGTGCCCCTCCCACCCCTCCAGGGAGGCCCCGCCTGAGCGAGGAGGGTATCGGAAAACCATACTATTTACATGGTTTCGTGCCCCTCCCACCCCTCCAGAGAGGCCCCGCCTGAGCGAGGAGGGTATCGGAAAACCATACTATTTACACGGTTTCGTGCCCCTCCCACCCCTTCAGGGAGGCCCCGCCTGAGCGAGGAAACCACCAACGCCCAGAGGGCTGGTGGGATTGAAAGTCTGTGTGCCGGAGCTCCTTACATGTCTGCAAGGTCGCTGAGCCTAGTGCACACCAAGGGGTCCTCCAGGGCCTCGGCAAACCCTTTCAACATGAGCGGACAGGTTGATGAGGAGGAGGAGGAGGAGGGGGAGGAGGAAGAGGAGGGGGAGGAGGAGGAGGAGGAGGAGGAGGAGGAGGAGGAGGAGGAGGAGGAGGAGGAGGATTGGGACCAGATAGAAACCCTTCGTGTTGATGTTGTCGTGCCCCATGGGTCCCACGAAACCGTTAATATCTTTATGTGGGGAACTCCGTTAGCATAATCTTTTTTATCAATACCACCATCGATCTAACAAACGATATCACTATTGATGTCACAACCGATTTCACTATCGATCTCCCGAGCGATATCACGATGGAGATCGATCTCATTGAGCCGACCTCATTATCGGTCTCACGATCGACCTCAAAACCATCCTTTTTATCGATTCGGTCCCGCAATCGATTTCAATATCAGTACCACTAATCCCACCAGCCCTTTGGGGGGGAGTGGTTTAGAGAGCCCGCTCTGTTCTCAACCCCCCTTCTTCCCCTTCGGGGAGGGGTTTACCCCTCCCCCTCCCCCCTCCCCCTGGGCCTGGAGAGGTCCCTCCGCGGGTCGCCGGGGGGGTCTTTTTCGACTCCTGGGAGGGCTAAAAAACGACACCCCTCACGAGGATTCTGGCCCCGACGGGGGGAGGGAGAAAAGTGCTCCCCTCTTCTTTGAAGCCAGAATCATTGATTTTACTACGGTTTTGGCTCCATTTTGGCCTTCTGAGGGGGCAGCGCTAATTAAAGCTCCCCTCTTCTTTCAAGCCAAAATCATTGATGTTACGAAGGTTTTGGCCCCATTTTGGCCTTCTGAGGGGGCAGCGCTAATTAAAGCTCCCATCTTCTTGGATCGATTTCCTCCAAGATGGCCCCAAGAAGCGCCCAGGAGGCACCAAGAGGCCCCAAGATGGCCCCAAGAGGCCCCCAGGAGGCCCCCAAGAGGATCCCAAACGGCCCAAAGAGGCCCCCCCGAGGCACCCAAGACGCCGAAAAGCCATCAGGACGACCCTCTACTCGCCTGGGCGTCGTTTCTGGACGGGCAGGAGGAGGGGCCCGAACGACTCACACCAGGACGAGGGGCCCGAACAACTCACACCACGAGAAGCCCGAACGACTCACACCAGGACGAAGAGCCCGAACGACTCACACCACGAAGAGCCCGAACGACTCACACCAGGAAGAAGGGCCCGAACGACTCACACCAGGACGAGAAGCCCGAACGACTCAAACCACGAGGAGCGCTTTCTCTCCCTCCTCCTCCGCCTCGTCCTTCTCCCGCTCCCACCACAAGGAGGATGTACAAGGAGGCGGGAGGAAGGAGGAACAGGGGAGATATGCGGGGGCAGGCGGAAACACGCCTGAAAAACACGACTCTCGGCATGCTTCGCTAGAGTTGCTGTTTTGAGATGGGCTGGTGGGGATACGCGAAGCGTGAAGAATTTTCAAACCATCCAGTGATTGGGTTTCTTCTCTAGTGTAGCTTGCTCTTGCAATTCAACATCCACGTATATAGTGTTCACGCAGTGAGCTTGTAAAACATCATGCGGCTGTGATCCCCAGGAGCTGGTCGAAAAAGGGAGGTTGATCCCAACAACTGTCGCTCCCACCGCAGTGCTTCTAGTAAAGACATCGAACTTCAGCGCATGATTGGGCGCAGAGACGCTGCTCTCGCCCCGGCTACCGATGCGAAGCTCTCCAACTTCAGGCTGCCTGGTGCTTTGGCGCGGAAGCGCTTTCCGTGCAAGCCCAAATCTATGTCCAAACAAACTCTCGACATGACGGTTTACATCGGGAGCGCCACCCGAAGCGTATGCAATGATGCGCAGACAATATAAGTTGAAACTGAAACCTTGCATCGCACCCCCAGTGCGGGGCCGACGAGCGGGGAACGTATAAGCACGACTTCAAAGAATTTGCGTTTCCAAATCCATCTGTAACGATGCCAAATAACGTCGGTGACGCTCCGAGACGTGAAAACGACTTGCTCACACGTGTTCGCAAAAAAAGACCAAGTTGTGAACGAAGTTCACACTCGCAAAGCGCACCCTCAAATCCAAGTAAAACCTGACACCCAGAGAATCCCAGACGCCCTCCAAGTGGTAGCGCGGCCTCGGACATATAATTGAAGATCTGCGGATCTGCGTTGCCCCCAGTCCTGGGCGCCTTCGTCATGGGCATGTCGTCCGTGATGGCAACTCCCGAAATGACCAGCTTGACTTCAACCTCATACATATATCGGGCTGTATTCAAAGAGAATGTCTTGAAACACCTCCCGTGCGGTACGTGTCTATCATGTTTGTGTGCTCTACGAACCGAGCGCTGTCAGAATGTCCAGGGCAGCTAGAATCAACGCGATGTCGCCCCATCGCCTCGCACAGGCAACGACTTCAAACAGTACACCAAACAAATAATCCACCGACGTGCTCTTCTTGTAACCGTAGGTGTACGCCAACACCGGTTTGGCAATGGTGCGGGCGATGTTCATGCAGACAGCGCCTGATAATAGTCTGTACAAATGGTCCAGCATGCCCTGCCATTTGAATTGCTTGAGCGTTGCTGGACTCAATGCATGTTTCACCCCGCGCAGAACGAACTGTTTCCATGTACCCAAATCCTGGTCACTCCAAGACGTGTCGTGCAACCTTTTCAAAATAAGTTCAGACAACCTATATCTCATCCAACGTGGGGCAAACACCCAGGTCTTTTCCCAAGATCTCGTCGCGGCCTGGGGCGGACGTTAACGATAGACGCGAAAGGGTACCGGCAAAATCGGCAATTAAAGACCCCGATAATACGATTGTCTAACATGCTCGCGATAGCCGTGGCCGGGCACTCCTCCGTTATTGCGCTGACATGGATGATGCTGCCGCCGTGCCTGCAAAACTGTGTTTCCCAAGCTGTGTGGGTGTTCCCTTCCACGTGCCTCTATCTGCTGGCTCTTCCTCCTAGATGCTCGACACTACTGGCGGTTGCATGTCCAGAACATTCCTGCGTTGATATATACATGTAAAGATGTGTTTGCTGGTTCCACGCGCGCCATGCTGATCAGCAGATGCCTTGGGCTTCGCCTGGCACGACGGATATGCGTGTTACGTCTCCTTTTCCTGCCACTTACCGTTCGCTCAACGCTTATCTCATCCTCATCCCAGAATGTGGTGTGACTTTCCCCCGCGTTCTTGGCGATGGCACCCTGCACGGAGGAAACACAAACATCAGAAAAGGCTGGTCCTTTCTGTGTCAATGACGCGCTGGCGAAATCAATGTGCGACTTGTTCCTGGCACCCCTCTTCCTCCTCACCCTTGTGCAATACAGATCCCAAAGGAATCTGTGTAAAGGAATTATGCGCAACAAGGTCGTGCGTGACATGCAAGTCCAAAACAATCCGCTGCATGCTAACACAATGAGAAGGCAGGGCCCTCGCACAGGTCTTGCCCGTAACCCCCAGGGGCGGCGGCGGTAGACTGACATTGGCATCCATATCTAAATAAAAAACTCTATCGGACACCACTGCTTACAGAGCACTTTCTCCCTCGCCAGCGTGGTCACGGCTGGAAGCTTGTGCAATGTGAGCCTGTCTGCAAGCCTGTCAGTGCCAGAATCTGGTATGTGTGCTGAAGCAAAGATGTGGTTTCCAACGGCACCAGTGCTGAATCGATCTTCATGCGCCTCCCATATGATAGGAGAAACATCGGCCTTAGGCAAGACAATGTCACAATCCGAAATGCCTATGCACACTAAGCCCCACTGCGGCACTTCTTGTAAAGATGCGACCGCTGAAGGACGGTACCGGCGAGCAAAGCACTTCAAGACAGCGCCAATCCTGTACCGAGATCTTTCTGCGTGTTCCAAATCACAAAGTCGAAGTTCACTAGCTCTGGTGAGGCTGCAGGGGAGTCAACCATGCAGTAGGTAATGCAAAAAAGACAAAATAAGTAACACATCAAAGAAAGCAATTGGCGTAAGCATTTATGCCCGCTGTCCTCGCCAACCTCCGAAAGAGCCAGCGTAATAGACGCACCCACTGGAAGGTATGTGCTAAAACAACCCATCTGGCACGGTTACCCTTGTCTAAAAGCGTGTGTGGCGGCATCCGGGTTTTGCCGCACGATCATATGAATGGCTTGAATCATTGCTCTTAATCGCCTTCCATGGCTATGCATCTTCTTGGCGCTTCGAAGCAAACCGTCAGATCCGACGTCTCGAACAAATTGGAACATCGTGAACACTCATGACTGGAGCCCTGGAGCCCATCTTGCTGCGCCATTTTTCGATCCCGATGGATCTGCGAGGGTGCCCGGGCCCAAATCTGGGCGAACACGCCTGGCGCGACAAAAGTGCAACGTCCGGCTCTCAGGGAAAGCGCGGCCGCCGCCGCCGCCATCCCCCCCACAGGCATGGGGGCGGGGCCAGCGTCGCGCCTCGGCCGCCTCGATCCTCGATCCTTCGAACCTCGATCCTCCGATCCTCGATCCTGTAATCCTCGATCCTCCGATCCTCCGAACCTTCGAACCTTCGATGCCTCGACCTATCCTCGCCGGGGGCCGGCGGCGCGCCTCCGCCGCCCTCCGCGGCGGCCGCGTCCGCGCCGCCCGCGGGCTCGGGGGGCGCCGCGCCCTCGGCGGCGCCGGCCTTGCCAGGCTTTGGCCGGCGGAACTTCTCCACCTCGGAGGCGGCGCCGTCGCAGGGCGCCGGGCACTCCGTCAGCGCAGATCGTGCATGAACCCACGTGTGCGAGCGTGCGTGCGTGCGCGCGCGCGGGCTCGGGTGTGTGGGCGTGTGGTTGTCTGGGTGTGGGCGTGGGCGTGTGCGCGTGTGCGGGTGGGTGTGCGGGTGTGCGACTGTGCGGGTGTGGGGGTGTGCGGGTGTGGGGCTGTGCGGGCGTGCGGGCGTGTGGGCGTGTGGGTGTGCCGGTGTGCGAGTGCGTGGGTGTGCGAGTGTGTGGGCGTGGGGGTGTGCGAGTGTGCGGGTGTACGAGTGTGCGGTTGTGTGGGCGTGTGGGTGCAGGTAGATGTGTGTCTACACATCTATTCTTCAAACGGTGCTTCCACTCAGGGGTTCTTACTTGTCTGAACCATCTCGGGGTGAGTGGCGGCTGTTGCGGGCGGAGCCGCCCGTCGCCGCCGTCGCCGCTGTCGCCGTCGCCGCCGCTCGGGGCGAGAGGCGGTTTTTGCGGGCGGTGCCGCCCGTCGCATAGATTCTCTTTTTCCTTAAAGTAGGAAAGCTCCCCCCCCGAGATTATCACCTCCCCTCTTCGTATTGCAATTGACTTACGATTCTGCCCCACCGCGCGTCCTAAGTATGACGTCGTACTATCCCAGGTGAGCTGGAATCCGCCCCCTCACGCGATCTGGTGTAAAAAACTATGCGCGCGCATTCGTTTATCAAAAATCAGCAGTTTCCCACAATCCTTTGCAAAAGCGAAGCGAAGTGCACCCGCGCGCGTAGTCGCGCGCATGCCGAAATCCTTCAAAAATCATCGGTTGCGTGAGGGTTTCGACAGCGACGGTTGAAGCGCACATGCGAAATTACCCTGGCGAAGGTCCCAACCATATGCAGTCGTGGGTACCGTAATTGTGAATATCTGCTTCGGTGAAGCTCCCTATGGGGCCACGAAGCGCTGCACTGGGCGGGGGGGAACGCTGCACTGTGTGGGTGGTGTGCCGAATGGGGTTTCTGGGACGCATGCGGACGGTCCCACTGAGGGCTTCGGTGGAGCTCTCTATGCGGCCACGAAGCGCTCTACTGAGTGAGCGAAAATGCCAAATTGGGTTTCCGGGACGCATGCGGACGGTCCCACTGGGGGCTTCGGTGGAGCCCCCTTACGGGGCCACGAAACGCTGCCCTGCGCGGGTGAAAATGCGCAATTACATTTCCCGGACGCATACAGACGGTGGCACTGGGGCCTTGGGTGGAGCCCCCTATGGGGCCACGAAACGCTGCACTGGGTGGGTGAAAATGCCAGATTGGGCTTCCAGAACGCATGCGGACGGGGGCACTGGGGCCTTCGGTGGAGCTCCCTATGGGGCCACGAAACGCTGCACTGGGTGTGCGGGGCGCAGGCGGGCGGTAGCGCTGGGAACTTCGGTGGGGCTCCCTATGGGTCCACGAAGCGCTGTACTGGGCGTGCGGGACGCATGCGGATGGTAGCACTGGGACCTTCGGTGGGGCTCCCTATGGGGCCGCGAAGCGCTGTACTGGGTGGGTGAAACGCAGGGAGGAGGGGGAGGAGGGCCACGAAACGCTGCACTGGGCGTGCGGGTCGCATGCGGACGGTAGCAGTGGGACCTTCGGTGGGGCTCCCTACGGAGCCACGAAACGCTGTACTGGGTGTGCGGGACGCATGCGGACGGTAGCAGGCTCCCTACGGGGCCACGAAACGCTGTACTGCGAGGGTGAAGGGCAGGGAGGAGGGGGAGGAGGGCAACGAAACGCTGTACTGGGCGTGCGGGACGCATGCGGACGGTAGCACTGGGACCTTCGGTGGAGCTCCCTATGGAGCCACGAAGCGCTGTACTGGGTGTGCGGGTCGCATGCGGACGGTAGCACTGGGACCTTCGGTGGGGCTCCCTATGGGGCCACGAAACGCTGTACTGGGTGGGTGACACGCAGGGAGGAAGGGCAGGAAGGCCACGAAACGCTGTACGGGGTGTGCGGGACGCATGCGGACGGTAGCAGTGGGACCTTCGGTGGAGCTCCCTATGAGGTCACGAAGCGCTGTACTGGGTGTGCGAGACGCATGCGGACGGTAGCACTGGGACGTTCGGTGGGGCTCCCTATGGGGCCACGAAGCGCTGTACTGGGTGGGTGAAGCGCAGGGAGGACGGGGAAGAGGGCCACGAAACGCTGCACTGGGTGTTCGGGACGCATGCGGACGGTAGCACTGGGAACTCTGGTGGAGTTCCCACTGGGGCCACGAATCGCTGTACTGGGTGTGCGGGACGCATGCGGACGGTAGCACTGGGACCTTCGGTGGGGCTCCCTACGGGGCCACGGAACGCTGTACTGGGTGGGGCGGGGAGGAGGGCCACGAAACGCTGTACTGGGTGTGCGGGGCGCATGCGGACGTTGGAGAGGAGGAGGGGGCAGGAGGAGGGGAAAACGTGGGGACCGTTCTTTCGAAACGAGGACCCAACACCACAGGATGGTTGGGAACAACACATAATCTCGCGACGCGAATTTTCAAAACAACATAAAAACGTGCTCAGTCAAAAACCTTCGGTGTCGCAGCGGTATCAAAACCGACGGTCCAAAAACATGTTAACAAAACATGCACACGGTTTCGCAACATCCGTCTCCCAAAAAACCTGCGTTCGTATTCTTGCGAATTCTTATGGAAACCATATGTTGCTCAACTTGTGCATGGAAAGCGGCCAAAAAGGCCTCTCGCACCGCATGCCGAAATCATTCGCGCGTGCTGGGGGGACACGACCCGTGTCAAAGAATACCACGCGGGCCACCCTCGCGCGTCGGCCGCGCACGCATGTCGACCTCTTTCCAAAACCTTCATCATTGACGCAAGGACGCCGTCATCGTCGTCGGCGCGATCAGCATCGGCGCCGTCAGTGGCCGCGATCGCCGGCGCGATCAGCATCGGCGCCGTCAATGGCCGCGCCGTCGTCGTTGCCAACATCGTCACCAGCATCGCTACTATCATCGTTGTGTCTACCGTTCTCGGTGTTGCCATGATACCGCGCCCGCCCAAAGCGTCGACTCGCACCGAAGTGCCCGCTGGCATGTGCCCAGCGGCCGGCGCCACCGCGGCCGCGTCGATCGCGCCAAACTAGCTGGCCGCTGCGCGCGGCGCGCTTAAGTCAGCGCGGCCGCCGGAAATGCACCAGCCAACGCCAGGCACTCATCGCAATCACCGCCGCATAGGTTTTGCAAACCATGTTGCGGGTCGGTGGTGGGATGTTTGCAACAACGTGGGATGTGTCAACTCGTTGGTAAAAACCAATTGCGTCGCATAAATTGCACCGCGTAAACTCCATTGCGTAGCTTGCACCGCGTAAATTCTCATCTCTAGACAAGAATTAGAATCCACCACCCACCCGCCCACCCGGTTTTATCGGTGCAATCTTCTTGTTGCAATTTACATGCGATTCTGCCCCATCGCCCATCGTAAATTTGAGCCCATACCATCCGAGCCCCGCCGGGATCGACCCCCCCCCCCCCCCGCCATCCTCAGCAAAAAACTGCGCGCGCGCAATTGTTCATCAAGGGTCAAAATTTTCAAAATGGGGCGAAGTGCGCACGTGCGCGTCGTCGCGCGCGCATGCCTAAATCGTTCAAAAAACCATAGGTTCCGGAAGGAATTCAAAATCGAATGTCCAAACCATATATAAAACATATGGTTTCGCAGCGCTGTTTGTCTCACAAAAAAACGCGCGCGCGTCCTTGCGAATTCTTGTAACAAAACTGCACGTTTCGCAACATGTTCAAAACAAATCCGCCGGGCCCCTTGCGGGGCCACCGGGCTGCGAAGGTGGGGATTGTAGCTCCCTGTTCCAGTTGCAGTTTTGAGTTGGCACTGTTACAGTCCTGCTGTCTGCTGCATCAGCGCAAATTGTCGCTGAGCGCGCGAGGGGGGGGGGGGGGGGGGGGCGAGCGCCGTTTTTTACCGCGCCCGAATCGCGCTGTCTGAATTCCTGGGGGGGGGGGGCGCGGGGCATATGAAAGTGTCTGATACTCGCGCCCCCGAACCCATGATCCCGAATAGATGGCGCCAGATTCGCGCCCCCGAGGCCATGGACCCTTCGCAAATGATGCAATAGCTGCGCCCCCGAAGCCGCGAAATGTTCGCGCCCCCGAACCCAGAGCCCCGCGCAAAGTAAACAGTATTCGCGCCCCCGAGACCATGGGCCCATGTAAATTACGGAATAATAGCGCCCCCGAAACCATAAACTTTCGAGACAAGTGTACAATGCTCGCGCCCCCAGGGCCATGCGCCCTCGCAAATTGCACCACGCTTGCGCCCCCGAGGCAACGCACCTTTGCAAATTACAACATCTTCGCGCCCCCGAGACCATGCACCCACGTGAATTACTCAATCGCTGCCCGCCCAAAATCCTAACCCCTCGTCGACCATGCAATATTCGCGTTGCCGAAACCAACAACCTTTGATATTGCCATAAACCAAAGTAAAGTGAGATTTCCCCTCGCGCGAAGCGCCGGCACTGCCTCGCGCCAGCGTCGGGGCATCCCAACGCAGCTCTGGCAAGTCCCATTCTAAAGGGGGCGGCTTGGGGGCGAAGCCCTTTCGGATACTACCAAACGGGCTTCGCGCGTGCGCATGTCGAACTCGTTCGAACGCCCTCGCGCGCGTGCCGTCGCGAGAACTCCTTGCAAAAGAAGGGGCGACATGCGCGCGCGCGTCGTCGCGCGCGCGTGCCACAATCGTTCCAAAACCGTCGGTTTCGCAACGATATGAAACTGAATATCCAAGACGCATTGAGAAACGCCAGGTTTCGCAACAACAGTTTTCAAACATGCGCGCGCGCTCTTGCGCATTCTACAGAAATCCATGGGGTTTTAACATCTTCGCTAGATTCTGCCACACATGCCGGCATCATTCGCGCGCCCTTGCGCGCGTGCTGGGGGTGGGGGGGCGGGGTGCGCGATCCGAATCAAATGAAACCATGCGGGCCACTCTCGCGCGTCGGCCG